TAAACAAAAAGAAAAAAGCCGGAAGTGGCGCTGTGGCTCAAGTGGTAGAGCGCTAGCCTTGAGCTGAAGAGCTGAGGAACAGCGCCCAGGCCCAGAGTTCAGGCCCCACGACCGGACCCCCCCAAAAAAAAATCTCACAGACTTTCCTGCCCAGGCTTGCTTTGAACCATGATCCTCAGATCTCAGCTTCCTGAGTAGCTTTGATTATAGGTGTGAGCCACTAGCATCTGGGAGCTTTGTGGTTTTAGTGAAAAGTGCTTTCAAGGAACAGCTTTGTCTAAGTGTATGTGGAACTCATGTGAAGGATACATTTCTTGAAGTGGAATTGCTAGGTCAAGAGCAGTGATTATTTAAAAGTTAGAAATATATGATAACATTGTCCTCTAGGCAGGTTGCCCAGTGCTTCCTGGGGTCACCATTATGTGGTGTTTGTGGCCTTGTACTGTCACCAGCACTGGTGTCTTCCCCAAACTTTTGTATTTCCAACCAGATAAGTGAAAAATGCTATCTCCATGACCAATTCCATCCCCTGCTCTAGATTGACCTGGACTATCTCTCCATCTGTTTGCTGTTGGGAATAGTTAAGATCTTGCTATGCTAGACAGTCTTGGGCTGTGAGCTTTCCTGGCAGAGACAACTATTTGAAATGATTTATTGAACAAATTCCTACTGTGCAGCACAATATTTAAGATGTGAGAAGACAAAGCTATGCAAGGAACTTTCTCCACCCAGGCAGTCAGTGTTCCCTACTCTGGGTGGGAGTTCTAGGTGCCCCCAGGCAAGCTTCCAAGTGGCAGCCTCCGAAGTTGACAATCTGGATAGTTTGCTTTGCTTTCTTGCTTTCTTTTTCTTTCTTGTCCTGCAGCTCCCCCCCCCCCATGTTTCTTGGTCTTTCCATTTCTTTCTGTTCCTCCTTGGGGTTCTTGAAGTGCTGGGGAAATCCTTCAGTGTTTGGCTTGCTCCTGATAGGCAAGAGTTTTTGAAAGGTGTGTGTGTGCACATTCCCTCTCCCTCCTCACCCCTCTTTCTTCTCTCCCTGGGGTGGCTTTTCTGTGTATGTGAACCCAGGGCTTCATGCATGCTAGGCAAGCACTCTACCACTAAGCCACATACCCAGTCCCTTGTGCTCTCTTATATTGGACTTAGGGCTTCAAGCTCTAGCTCAGCTTTATTCTCTGAGTTGGTTCCAGCTTTTTTTTTTTTTTTTTGTCAGTCATGGGACTTGAACTTTGGACCTGACTTGAACTTTGGACCTGCCTGGGTGCTGTCCCTCAACTCTTCAGCTGCAAGGCTAGCTTTCTACCACTTGAGCCAAAGCGCCATTTCCATTTTTCTGGTGGTTTATTGGAGATAAGAGTCTCACAGACTTTCCTGCCTGGGCTGGCTTTGAACCATGATCCTCAGCTCTCAGCCTCCTTAGTAGCTAGGATTACAGGTGTGAGCCACCAGCGCCCGGCAGGTTCCAGCTTTTTGCTAGTTAATTGGAGATATGATCTCATGGATTTGTCTGTCTGGGCCTGTAACCTCTGTCCTCAGATCTCAATCTCCTTAGTAGCTGGGATTAGAACCTCTAAATGGATTCTTTCCCTCCCTCCTCCTCACTCCCCCTTCCTTCTTCTTTTCCTTCCACTTCTAAAACATTGACATAAAAGCATATGCATTTCTCACATACAGCACAAAGTTTTGAGGTACTTGTATAGTGTGAAATGGTTAACTCTTGGTGACCACCAGGTCCATTACTGACCACCAGCCCATCGTTACCAGATTTGCCATGAGAACACTTGATTTCTAATCTGCATTTTCCAAGACATATAGTCACCTGTGCCACATGATAAATCCTTTCATATCACTTCTGTTTAGCCAAAATTATACACCAGTCCCTCAACACCATTCCTGTTTTTATTTCTACTTTTGAGATTTCACATATAAGTGAAATCATATGATACGATTTGTCTTTCTGCTATCTCCATATTTCAGTTAATGTAATGTCTTCCAGGCTCATTTGTGGTGTTGGAAATGACAATATATATATATATTTTTTTGGTCCGGTCGTGGGGCCTGAACTCTGGGCCTGGGCGCTGTCCCTCAGCTCTTCAGCTCAAAGCTAGCGCTCTATCATTTGAGCCACAGCGCCACTTCCGGCATTTTTTTTTCTGCTTATGTGGTGCTGAGGAATCGAACCCAGGGCCTCATGCATGCAACGCAAGCGCTCTACCACTGAGCCACCTTCCCAGCCCCAGAAATGACAATATTTTTTAATGGGTAAGCAATATGCTATTGTATGTACACACCACCTGTTCTTTATCCATTCATCAATTGATAACAACTTAGGTTGATATCGTATCTTTTCTTCTGAATAATTACTGCCGTAAGCATGGAAGGGCAAGTATCCCCATACACTGAATACCTTTCCTCCAAATATGTACCCAGTGGCAGAATTGCTGGATCACAGTGTGTGTGTGTGTGTGTGTGTGTGTGTGTCCCTGGGACTTGAACTCAGGACCTGGGTGCTATCCCTGAGCTTCTGTGTCACATTGTGTGTGTGTGTGTGTGTGTGTGTCCGTCCCTGGGACTTGAACTCAGGACCTGGGTGCTATCCCTGAGCTTCTGTGTTCAA